CGTATTTACTTATGTAAAATGTTATGAATTTGGGAATTCTTTGAATTCGGTTATGAATCAACAAACATAAATCCACACATGTACATACAAACATATGAAAGAATTTGTGAAATGAAAAGAATTTGTGAAATGAATGTAAATGTGGGATGCTTGTGAATGGATTATTGGCATACATTGAAATGTATGGGTAATGGGGAATGGGTTTGACGTTTCCAGGGAAGTAAAATGTGGCATTTCGTTTAAAATCGAAAGGGGCAGAAACAATCTTTAAACCGATGTTATTATGCCTTAAACAAGATTTAAATGATAGAGATAAAAGAAAAATGATTTAAAAAAGTATCGTATAAAGCCAACCTAAACCAATGTCTTTGATTAAAATGTTTATGGTGCCAAAGGAGTGGGTCAATATTTTCCACTTCACATCTGAACTACGTCTGATATTAATACTGTGATGTGCCAGGTTTAGACATTATCGACTACTTCCTTCGCTTTATAGGAGATATGCGATAATTTTTGGAAAATGTTGAAATCTGCGTGGAGTTCCGGATATAGTGAACCGTGGTCTGAAGAAAATCGATAATTAATTTCCAACTATATGCGAATAGTTTTTAATCAAAAATGTAACCTTTTTGTGTGGAATGAACCAGAATGAGTGGTCGCTGTATTCCATATTAACTTCATATTTTTGGTTGAGATAATTTTTTTGATATTTCAATAATCTCTGACTTGTTTCGCATCTTATGAGAAAGAGAATTATTGAAAATTGTGAACCTTTGAGTCGGAGGTACCAAAAAGGGATGGGCCGATTTGTATTATTCAATTTATGATCGTTTTAGTTATTTAGATAAACCATTTTGAGGGGGGCGACCAGAAGGAGTCGACGGATATATCCAATCTAAACACAAGATCTTGTGTTGATAGAAATATTGGGATGCGCCGAATATAATAATCATCGGATGCTCATTTCGGGTTTTATGAGCTACATGGTTACTCAAAACATTGACCTATTTGTGGTAGAGGTACCAGAAGAGTTGGTCCGATATATTCTATCTTCAAACCAGATCTTGCGTTAGTAAAAATATCGGTTTATATGAAATTCGAAGAAAATCGAATGCTTATTTCCATTTAATGACTACCCCACGAAGAGGTAGGCCGATATCTATTTATAGATCAGATCACGCGTTAGTAAAAATCTTGGGATATGAGAAATTTAAAGAGAACCTGATGTTTATTTCACATGTTATGAGAGACATAAATATTTAAAAATTTGTCCCGTTGTGGGGGAGGTACCATAAGGAGTGGTCCGACACATTTCATATTCATACCTGGTTTTGTTTTGATAGAAATATTGTCGAGTTCAATAATAATCGAATGATCATTTCACGTTTTGTGAGACGCATGGTTGCTCCAAATGTTGACCCCTATGCGGAGGAGGTACCAGAAAGGGTTGGGGCGATACATTCCATCTTCAAACCGAATCTTTCGTTAGTAAAAATATTGAGATATACGAAATATGAAGAGAATTGGATGGTTATTTCCCGTTTTATGAGAGATAAAATTATAGAAAATTTTGACCCGTAGTGTGGGGGGTACCATGGGGAGTGCTCCGATATATCCCATCTTTGCACTAGATCTTATGTTATTACAAATTTTAGTATCGGTGAGAAGAGAATTTGATAATTATTTCACATTTTATAAGAGTAAATAATTATTCAAAATGTTGGCCCGTTGTGGGGGGGTGGGGTTACCAGAAGGAGTGGACAGATATTGCCCATATCCATACTAGATCTTGTGTAGGCGGAAATATTTAGAAGTACCACGTTTGAAAAGAATCGGATGATCATTTCGACTTTTATAAGTGTCGTGGTTATTCAAAATTTTGACCCCTTGTGTGGGGAGATACCAGGAGGAGTGATTCATTTTATCCACTCTTGCTACCAGACCTTGCGTTGGTTAAAGAATTGAGATGTCTGAAATTTGAAAACTATGGGAATCTTATTTAACAATTTAAAAGAGAGTCGAATACTCAAAATGTTTAGCCTTTGTGGGGGAGGTACCAGACATATTCCATCTTCACACTTAGACTTGTGTTTATAAAAATGTTGGGATATGTGCAATTTGAAGACAGGGTTACAGGTTTCCAGGAGGTGGAGACCAATGTTGTCCATCTCCGAACTCGATTTAAGTTTTACAGTAATATTATGATGTACCAAGTTTGGACCAAATCGGTTACTCCTTTCTAGAGTTATCGTACGTACCACCCAGGCAGACAGCCCATTGGACATCGGACTGGGTCGACTCCAAATGCCCAGAAACGGATTTGGTCCAAAGAGACCTAGAGAGACCGTTATTTCGGTGTGGTAGGTTTTGACCGTATCAAATGATATATACCCTCTTCGCCATATGTCTGAGGTTATAAAAATGTTGACTCTATTTTGGGGGAGGTACCTTAAGGTCTTGTCTAATATATCCCAACTTCCCATATGACATTGAGGGTGTAGATATATTTGACCGTTAAAAGTTTGAAAAGAACCTGATGGCAGTTTTATGAACGTTACGTTTATTCAAAATTTGACCCCATTGTGGAGGAGGTACTTGATGGATTGGGTCGATATTGTCCATATTCGCTCCTGACATGATAGTATTAGCATTTGCAAATTTTGAACAAAAATGAATCCTCCTCTCTTGGTCTGTTAGGTAAATTATTTTCTATGAAAATTTAAACTTTTGGTGGGAAAGGTACTAGACGGCGTCGACCGATATTGCCCATCTCCGAATTCGATTTAAGTTTGACAATAATATTACAATGTACTAAGTTTGGACCAAATCGGTTACTCCTTTCGTGAGTTATTGTGCGTACCAGCCAGGCAGACAGTCGGACGGACATCGAACTGGATCGACTCCAAATGTCCTGAAACGGATTTGGTCCAGGGAGACCTAGGGTCTAAAACCGTTATTTAGATGTGGTACGTTTTGGTCGTATCATATGATATATACCCTCTTCGTCATATGGCTGAGGATATAAAAATGTTGACCCTTTGTAAGGGAGGTACCCTAAGATCTGGTCCACTACATCCCAACTTCTTATCAGATCTTGAGTGTATATATATATTTGACTGTGCAAAGTTTGAAAAGAATCGGATGCTTATTTCGCATTTTATGAACGTTATTTTTATTCAAAATTTTGACCCCATTGTGGTGAGGTGCTTGATGAAGTGGGCCGATATTGTCCATATTCGGTCCTCATATGATAGCACTAATTTCAATATTAGGATTTGCAAAGTTTGAACAAAATTGAATCTTCCTTTCTTGGTCTATTGGGTAAATTATTTTCTATAAAAATTTTAACTTTTGGTGGGGGATGTACTAGGCGGAGTGGACCGACATTTCCCATCTCCGAACTCGTTCTATCTTTGATAATAATATTACAATACGTACCAAGTTTGGACCAAATCGGATACAACATTCGAGAATTATAGTGCACACCAGCCAGACAGGCAGACAGATCGATTCCAAAATGTCCTAAAGAGCTCCACATAACAATTAAAAGTTTTTATGGGAGAATTCAATCATACATGCTATGATTATAAGTACAATTTAAAGTTCAAAGGACTAAATATGCCGAAGCATTAGTATCTTCGGGCTTGTATTGCACAATTAATTTGAAATCGGATAAAGATTTATATGGGAGCTATATCCAAATCGGAACCGATTTCGATAAAATTCTGAGATGTATTTGATATATCTCCCTAAATATCGTTGTTACGAAGTGCATATTACGGCTGTGGGTAACAAATATAACAAATCGGATGAACAATATATATGGGAGCTATAGCTATATCTGAACCGATCTTCACCAAATTTGACACACTAGCTTCTAGACTCAATTCGGTGGTAAGTGTCAAATTCCATTCCATTAGGACAATTATTAGACGTTTGGTGCACAATAAAAGCTAAATCGGACGAAGTTATATATGAAAGCTATATCCAAATCTGAACCGATCACGATAAAATTTGCCAAAGATATTTCTGAGCTGTATTTGATATATTTCCCCAAATATTGTTGTTACAGAGTGCATATTACGGCTGCGGAGGACAAAAATAACAAATCGGATAAAAATATATATGGTAGCTATAGCTATATCTGAACCGATTTCGATCAAATTTGGCACACTTATTTCCAGGCCTTTTATGTTTGTATGTGCAAAATTACATACTATTCGAGCTGATATTACACGTTTGGTGCACAATAAAACGCAATGCGGACGAAGATATATATGGGAGCTATATTTAAATTTTGACCGATTATCTCCAATTTCAATAGGGTTCGTCCTTGGGCCAAACAAATGATCTGTGCAAAATTTCATCTGGATAGGGCAATAAATGCGAGCTGTACTTTGTTTACACAAATACATGGACAGACGGACAGACGGACAGACGGACGGACAGACCGACGGACGGACATGCATAAATCGACTCATAATGTGATTATATGCAGATCATCAAAAGGAACTATGGGTCCATTTCGTTTCTTTTTGCCTGTTACAAACAAATGCACAAAGACATAATACCCTGACCACCTTGTGGTGTAGGTTATAAAAATGGAGCACTGGAGAATGTTTACCCCCCCACTCCATTTGCCCGAAACAATTATTTGCACTGTTTTCGAAGTTACGGAAGCATTAGAAAACCGTTCTAATTAACATGTCCCCCCAAAGGCAAATTCACTTTATTTGTTATTCTTTTATTCACAAAAAAGAAAAGAGAGAAAAATAAAAACACAACAACAATAGTTGCGAGTTAATTTCTCAGTCATTTAACGGGTTTTGTTAAACGTAGAGAAACTGTGTCTGTGTTAACCACACAATTGCATGCGAACGCTCTCGCATGTGTACAAGTATGTGTGTGTGTGTGTGTAGATAATGAAAGTGAAAGCGAATGTAACGAGAAAAAAGGTTGAATGAAGAAAAAAAACTACAAAATATTTATAGAATACTTACCGCTAAGCACATGTAGGTCAACGGATACAGATGCACTATTCGATGGCTGGCAGGTATAATTTCCGGAATCCACTTTACGTACAGATGGTATAATGAGTGACCCAATCTAAATGGTGGAGAGAGGGAAAGAGCAAAAAAAAAAAAAAAAAACACACACACACGAATAAGTGAAAGTAAAACACATTCTTTTTTGTTCTGACAATTGAGTTTTTATTCCAGCAACATTAGGTTGCATGAGAGAAGAGATCATTGCATGCACTTACCGTATTTTCATTATCGCCATTATTTCCAAATATATTTCGATCCAGTTGTGTGTACCAGCCGAGTTTATTGTCATCGCTGATTTGTGTTTTATCTCGATACCAGATAATGTACTGCGGCGGATCCAGGGTGCCACGCACAATGCAATGCAATGCCACTTTGCTGCCGGCCTTAACAAAACGTGATTGGTCTCCAATCAGTTCGGTTAATGGCACTAAATGAGAGAGAAAGGACAAATAGATGGGAGAAACAAACGAAAAAAAAAAAAAACAGACAAACATTTAAATTACAATGCCACTCACACATCAACAATGAATGAGTGAATTCAGTCATTCATTCATTCAGTCATTCACTCATTGGTCATTTTCTTTGAACAATGTTTGCATTTGATTTTTTTGTGTTGTTGTTTTTGTTTTTTTTTTTTTTCTGGTTATCATCAAATTAACAATGTTTGCTCTAGCCAAACACTTACCAATCACTTTCAGATAGACTTTGGCACTCATTTTTGGCTCCGAACTAGCCTGACACTCAAACCAACCCTCATCGGATGGCTGGACATATTTGATTTGCAGTGACCAGGTGTACTCTTTGTCATCTTGGAAAATTGCCTGAAATCGTTGATCGGCAATGAATGTGGTCTGATCCACAGATATGATATGGCCATCACGTAAACGCACCCAGGAGACGGGTTTATTTTGTAAACGATGAATCTGCAAGAGACAACACAAAGAACAAATGTTAATGAGTAAAATGGCATAGGTGGTTTTCTGTGAAATGGAGAGACTCTCTATTCTCTTTGAGGGAAAAGCTAACACAAAGAGGCTAAGAGATACCATATAAAGGCTTGGATAATGTATTTACATTCCATGAGGACGAATTCGCTATTGATGAGATTTTCGAAAATGGGGTAAGGTATTATAGAATTTTGGGTTTGTTTGCCAATGATATTAAAAAGGTACTACAAAGTACTATATAGCGATGTTGGGAGAGCAAATTCAGCGCTACGATAGAACTAGGATTTATGACCTTGGAACTAAAGGGATTCAAAGAGTACAGAAATGTGATATTCAATGGCATCATACCAAATATATTAGTGTAAATTTTTTAAGGAAATAATGTTCGGAAAATTGTTGATTTAAAACAGAATTTTTAACCCACAAGCTTAGTACGGAAGGTTTGTCATTCCATTTGTAACTCCTCGAAATATGGACTTTAGACTCCAGAAAATCTATGTATATTCTTGAGCAGCATAAAATTCGATGTCAATTAACGATGTTATTAATATTTACTTAATAACATCGGAAATCAGGCAGAGTGGGCCAGGTCTTCTCAGTAAGAGTTTTTCCTCTTTCTTCTCTTTTTCTCATCGGGTCCTCCGTCATGGCTTTAAAATGCATTTCAGGATACATTGATGGTCTGAAATTAATTATATCCTCAGCCATTTGAAGAAAGATATCATTCGATACGCCCAAAACGTGCCTCATCCAAATAACAGTTTAAGACCCCAGGTCCCTTTTGGACAAAACCGTTTCAGGACATTTGGAGTCCGTCCGTCCATCTGACTGGTTTGTTCGCACGATAATTCCCGAAGGGAGTACGCGATTTGGTTCAAAGTTGGAACATCGTAATTTTATTATCAAACTTAGATCGAGTTCAAAGATGGGCAATATCAGTCCACACCTTCTGGTACCTCCGCTACAAAAGTCGAAATTTATCCAAACAAAATATTTTACTGTACAGAAAGAGAAAGGATAATCCAATTTTGTGCCAACTTCGCTAATCCTAATATTTGCATCAGTGCTAATTCAGGTGCGAAATCGGACAATATCGGTCCACTCTATCAAGTAAATGCCCCAAAAAAGGTCAAAAGTTTAAATATTTTTAACTCCTATAAAATGTGATAGGAAAGCCCGACTGTCTTCAAATTACACACATCACAATATTTTTTAACCCAAGGTCTGGCGTGAAGATGGAATAAATCGGTCCAATCCTTCTGGTACCTCCCCCAATATATTGAATAACCATGAAATTCATAAAACGCGAAATTAACTTCCGATTCCATTCAAACTTGGTACATCCCAATATTTTCATCGATACAAGATCTGTTATAAAGATGGTAGAGATCGGACCATTTCTTATGGTACCTTCCCCACAAAGAGTCAAAATTTTCGAATAACCCAAACGATCATTAAATCCGAAATAAACATCCGGTTCTCTTCATATTTCACACATCCCATTATTTATATTAACACAAGATCTGCTGTGCAAATGGGATATATTTCCCACGGCTTCTGGTAACTCCCACACAAAGGGTCAAAAGCTCATAAATTGCGAAATTAACATCCGACTGCATTAAGACTTGGTATAGCTCAATATTTCTATCAACACAAGATCTGTTGTAAAGATTGAAGAGATTGGACAATTTCTTCTGATGGGAGAGGCCCCATATAGCGTTCAAGATTTTGTCAAACAAAACGCTCAAAGAAAGCGAAACGAGCATCCAACTCTATTCACATTTCACACATACAAACATTTTTGCTAACACAAGATCTATTGTGAAGATAATAGACATATACCAACCACTTCTGGTACATCACCCACCAAGGGTTACAATTTTCAATACTAACACCAAAATGCTGCCATTTCTAAGCCACTCGTCTGACAGCTGCTAAAATTATTCCAGTGACAGCTCATTATGTTGTCTACAAGCCTACAAAAGCATTTTGGTGAGAATTTTCCAGAAAAAAACTTATTCGAGATGGAATTCAAGCGTGATAGTGTGATTTCTTTTTATTTGCCTGGCAAAAAAGTGCAAGAACTTACACCGCAACACAAAAATAAACATCAGATAGAAAAAAAGACTCTAAAAAGCTAAAGAGTTGCTTCGCATGGCCGAAAGTGGCGAACTACCGAATTTGGTTTTCTCCGTTGAGAAAATATTCGTTGTCCAGAAGTTTGTAAACAAACAAAAGTGATCGTGTTTACTTGCCAAAGAGGTCAGCTGAAAATGTGCACCTTCGGTTGGCCACCACAACTCAAGTGCCGAACATGGTGATGGTGTGGGCCGCCATAACAGTCGATGGTCGCTCTCCGCTCGTATTAATCGACCGTGGCATAAAAATAAGTTTCGAATATTATAGCGAAAATATTCTGGAGGGTGTATTAAAGCCTTGGGCACGCAAATATTTTGGCCGCAGACCTTGGACACTCCAACGGGACTCAGCACGCGCCACCCAAGAATGGTTAAAAAATAAGGTTCTTCGCCTTATTTCCAGAGCACAATGGCCACCTAAATCTCCGGATACCAATTCGTTGGACCATTGTGTCTGGAGTATTTTGGAAAGCAAGGTTGGCACTAAAAAATACCAAAATGTCGATCACTTCAAGCAAGCGCTTCGCCGGGAATGGGCCAAAATACCTCAGATAAACATTCGGGCAGCGTGTGACGGTTTCATTGGCCGTTTGAAGGCCATGAATCGTACCAAAGGTGATCAATTCGAACAAATCTAAACTTATTCTAAAATTTAATGATATTTTCGACATTTCTTTGCTTTCATGCAATGAAACTTAAAAAGAAATATGTAAAAATTATGGTGTTGACTTTGTTGAAGTTTTTGTATCTCACGCTGTATATTTATTTAAAATTTTGACCCTTTGTGGGGTCATTATTGTCCACTTTCGCACATAAAAAAGGACTGACAAATATATTGGGATTTGCAAAGTATGAAGGAAAGTGGATGATCTTTTGCGGTTCTATCAGGTAAATTATTTTCTGGGGAAGGAACTAGAAGGAGTGGGCAGATATTGCCCATCTTCGAACACGATCTAAGCTTGACAATAATATTACGATGTACCAAGTTTGGACCCAATTGGATACTTCCTTCGTGACAAGCAGAAGCACGGACGGACAGACGGACATCTCTAGATTGACTCCAAAAATCCTGAAAAGGATTTGGTCCAAAGAGACACAGGCTCTTGTACCGTTATTTCGATGAGACACTGATTTGGCCCTATCAAATTATATATACCCTCTGTAACCATGTGGCATGCTCGAGTTTCATTCCGACCCCCAAAGCATATTAATTTAATATTATTTCATAAAAAAAATATTTTTATCGAATGTCATAAAATTTGTGCATATGTATAACGTATGTATGAAGTGTGGCTCGTAGCGATTGCTTGGTCGGATAAAAATTATGTTTTTTGGTCATTATATTCCCCAAATATTTTGCAATCATCTCCAAAACCTATAAGATTCTCTCTTCTCTTCTACCCTCATCCCAAAGTGTTGTGGTGTATAAAAATAATTTTTTTTTTTTATTTTTTTCAATAAAACATTTCTTTTTTCAATTTTTTTCAATTATAAAAAATAATTAAAATATTGTCACTCTGTGTCTGAACTATAATTCAGGATTTCCATATAATAATCCTTCTCTAAAACTATTTTCAACTTTTTTTTGCCACACATCAAAAACTTTACATATGTATTAGATTGTGTATACCATTACACACAAATCACAAACTCTTCTAATATCACAAATTGATGGATTTATATACAACAAAATGACATTTTATGATTTTATAACAAGTAAATCATCGTTGTATGTGTGTGGGTGTGTTTTTTTGCAAGAACAAATGTTTGGCAATTGTGTAGGACATTTATCCCAAAACTAAATTATCATCTATCATTGTCAATGGTTTTTGAAAATTATGTTTCATAGATTGTGTGAATATGAATTTTTGCTATGAATAGCTTTTGGATGGATGGATGAATGATATCAGAATTATTAGATTTTATAACAAAGAGTGCGAGACACCTCATATGATCCGTCAATGTCAATCAGACATAATTTCATAAACTAACCACATTGAGGCCAACAAAAACGAAAAAAAAAAATGGTATGATAATATACAATAATCGATCACTGCCAATGGAAACCTTTGTTTTAACACCATAGGTAATGTAAAGATTGTGTGATATTAGGTTAATTACATTTTGGTAGCTGTGTATAGAACAGTTTTCGCTTACTTGCTGATGGTCAGATCTGAGCTGGGGGACAGGGAAAACATTATGCAAATAAAATTGTAAAAGGTGAGAAAAAGAAGTAAAAAACCTTAAGTTCGGCCGGGGCAAACTTTAAATACCCTCCACATTAGCGTAAAGTAAACATTAGAAGAAATGTGGCAAAAACCATTAAACTGTCGAATATCGGCAGGTACCGTTATATTGGGGCTATACCAAATCATGGACCTACACATACAATGTTTCGCCCAAGGAGCTAGAACCCATTATGACCTACAAATGCCAATTTTCAGACAAATATGTGAAAAAATGTGGAAAAGACCATCAAAATACCGAATATCGGGAGGTACCGTTATATGGGGGCTATACCAAATCATGGACCCATACATGCAATGTTTCGCCATTGGAGCTGGAACCCATTATGACCAACGAATACCAATTTGTAGACAAATCCGTGAAAAAATGTGGCTAAAAAAATTACAATACCGAATATCGGGAGGTACCTTTATACGGGGGCTATACCAAAACGTGAACCCATACATGCAATGTTTTGCCATACGCACAGGGACCCGTTATGACCTACAAATACCAATTTTCAGACAAATTCGTGAAAAATTTGGCAAAATTAATCAAAATACCGAATATCGGGAGGTATATATATCAAAACGTGGTCCTATATATGCCATG